GATGGGTGTTTGTGTGTGTGTGTGTGTGTTGGGGGTGTGTGTGTGGATGGGTGTTTGTGTGTGGATGGATGTTTGTGTGTGTGTGTTGATGGGTGTGTGTGTGTGGATGGGTGGGTGTGTTGGTGGGTGTGTGTGTTGGTGGGTGGATGGAAGGGGGGAGGGAGGGTGGAGTGACTGATAAGTAATTTCATATTTTGAAAATCTGTTGTGGGCTTAACAGTCTTTTGGAATATATCGGATTGTTCAGTTGTCTGGTTTGTTCTGCTTGTAATTTCTTGTTGAACTATCTTCTTCTTCTTCTTCTTCTTCTCCGTTTCTTATCTTTTTCATTTTTCATTGTACTGTTTCATGAGACCTTGTTGATATCTGCAGCTCTTTAGATGTATCGTGTGGGTGGTTGGCGGGTGCTCTGGTGTGGTTTGCTTCCTCTTTCCAATCAAACATCTATCGTCTTTATCTCTCCTCCTTTTTCGTGTTTGTTACTCTCTTGTTAACACCTCTAATCTTTGGCACTTATATGACCTTATCGTGTTGCAAGTGCCGTAAAACACTTACTAAAAAAAAAAAAAGAAAAGAAAAAGTGAAATACACCCATTTTTGGAAGGACCTGCGCGACATTATGTATTATAACCTGTTGCTATGTGTGCTTTTGAGTGTAGGCTAGCTCTGGATACTTTTCTTATGGTTATTTGCTGTCTTTTTGTCTAGATACATCATGTATGTTCTATCTGGCGGTTTTTCTGACTGTCAGGGTATCGTCTTTTGGCTGGTAGTTTCACAGCATCTCACTTTCTTTTGTAGTACATTTCCTTCTATTCAGTGGGTGGTTGGCGGGTTCTCTGGTGTGGTCTACTTCTTTTTTCCTATCAAACATCTATCATCCTTATCTCCCCTCCTTCTTTTTTATGTTTGTTACTCTCTTATAACACCTCTATTCTTCTAGCACTCATATGACCTTATTGCAGTTGCGAGCGCCGTAAAACCTCTACTAAAACCAAACTCTTTCTATTCATTACCATTATAATAGTAAGACGTGAGATTCTGTCCTATCATCATATGTCTATCGTTCTTATCTCTCCCCCTTCTCTCACTATCTTTTTTTTTACTCACTCCTTGATATGCAATCATTCCACCGGCTCCTCCTAATCTCTATCTTTCTC